AGGTTGGGAGTTTGAATCCCCCACTGTGCCTCCTTAAGAGTGGCTGGGCTTGATGATCTATAGAGTCTCTTCCGGCTCTGCAATTCAAGGGTTACTATTATTTATATATTATTTAGAAAATTATACACAGTAAATGTCTGAATGACAGAGCTAGTAGTGTTTTCTATTTGATCTGTTGCCTTCAGAGTGCATGGGCATTGCCTTCCAAATATTCTTTAATCCACTTCATCTGATGCATGGAGTGCTATCTTAGTACTGTACAGTGGTGCCTCGCAAGACGATTTCAATTCGTTCCGCAAAAATCGTCATCTTGTGAAAAAAATAATCTTACGTGGTTCCCTATGCATCGGTCTCAAAAAAAAAGCCTTGCGAAGCATCGGTCTTTTAAAAAAAGGTCTTGCGAAGCACAGTAATAGAAAAAAAGTCTTGCGAGGCACCATAGTGACCTCAAAATCCAATCATCTTGCAGGTTTTTCATCCCACAAGGCAATTGTCTAGCGAGGCACCACTGTATAATGATATTTATATAAAACAAGAAGAATGGAATGCTTTGTTTTTCTTTCTTTGTGTCGGAAGCACTACAGTACAATTAATAAGTATTTCAGGTAATCGTCTCCAAATACCACGAGCATTTGGGGTACATAACATAAAATCTCCCATAGCACATATTGAAGGGCCCAGGGTACACTGACAGAGGTACGAAGTTGACTGTTCTTCTCCATACTTGCAAAGGACTGTGTTGCTGTGAAAAATCCTTTTTTCTTGGGTTCGCTTTGGTTCTGCCACCGCCACTCTTGTAGCTTATCAAGTGATTCCCAGCTACTCCAGTTCTCTATGTGTCTACTGGCTAACCTTTCTGTCCCATTTTAAGAAGTGGGTGGTTCTTCTTTCCACATTATAGTCCTGGGATTCTTTGCCGTTTCTTCAGGATTCACAAATGCTCTGAATTTTTTTCCCCCTTGATTTTAGTCTGGAAGGAGCCAGATAGTAGCTGAAGAGTGGATGTGCATTTGATGTCCATATTTTCAGTCTCTCGTGGTTAACTGTTATCTCTCTCCGTATGTCACTCAGTGCAACAGCAGCAAGATAATTGATTTTATCAATAGCGGATGGCTTCAGGTATCCAGTAATGGTTCTACAATTTTCACTGAGTGCTGTGCCTACCTGTTTTGCATGGGGTGACCAGGCTGGTGCATTTGCAAGTCAGGTAGCACAGATCAAGACTGTAGTTCTCAGGGCTCATGGTTCTCTGCCCCCTGATTGCTTTAGAAGAATATTGTTCTTTGTGCAAACTTTTAGCTTTGTGTTTTGGCAGGTGTTTCTTGAACGACAATGTACAATCCAAGTTAACACTTAGGTATTTGGGAGCAAAACAATGATCTTGTTGGATGCTCTTCCAGGTAATCTGACGCTTCCAAGATGCCCTGCTTATTTTTCAGATGAAAAACAAATATCTGAATCCTAGCAAAGTTGGGATGTGACTACACAAGGTTCCACTGCTGGAAGACTTTTTATTCACGAAGTGCAAATGATTAATTATTCCCAGGGAGCTTTGGCTGAAACAGTTCACACCACACCTAAAATTTCTGTAATTATCATCTGGACCAGAGCTTCCCACTCAATTAACACTGTCCCCCTTGCTCCTTCACCCCTCTCCTTCCCTAAAAAAATATTAAAAAATAGGACAGGTGACACTGTGCTGAATTGGCATAACAACCTGTCAGCCTATCACAGTCTCTTCCCATGTGTTAAAAACAAACAAACAAACAAACAGGTAGGTGGGTATGAAAAGTCTCTTGGCACAGGTTTTACTTGTATGCATTCTGACGCAGAAAACAACTCTGATACCATTCCAGAGTACGTATCCAGGGCATTCTCTCACCTGAACTCACAGCATCAGTTCCAATTACGATGAGCTGAAATGAGCCAGGTCACCGATATTCTCAATCTTAGCTCACCTTGGCTTCTTATACCTATGGAAGGGAACTGAGACTGGGGGATTATTAAAGCCTTTTTGAAAAAAGGGAGCACTTCAGGATTATTTACTGGTGGCAGTTCTGAGCCTATTTCTTAAGAAAGCTTTGTTCTCCTGTGCCATCAAATCAGAACTGATTTATAGCTGACCCTAATAGGGTTTTCAGGGTAAGTGAAATATTTAAGGAGGGGTTTTACCAGTTCCACTACCCCAGTGAGTTTCCGTGACTGAATGGGGATTCAGAACTAGGCCTCCTGAGTTCTGTCCACTACACCACACTGGGTACCCAAGAAACCTTTACTGAACCGAAAATCCAGTAACAAACTTAGAGCCTCTCTCTAAGCCCTACTTGTTGAAACAGATGGTTGAGATGTATTTGCATCTGGGTTTAGCCTTGGCCGTCTTTGTCAGGAAAGACAGGGTAAATTCTACAAGCTTATCTGGCTCTTTACAAGGTGTGTGAAAATAAAAGTTGGATTATATAAAAGATGGATTATAAAAGAGTCTGTGGTTTAAATAAACGTTTGTACAACTATAAATTTAAAAACTAGAAGGTTTACCTGCAGAGACACTGTTTAAAAACATTACTACTGTCTGAAACATTTTGGCTGCCATTTTGCCTCCTGGAAGCCATCGGCACCCACTATAGCGAAGGTTTCAAAGGATGGCTTTGACTCCAGACCACCTTCCATTTCAACTGCCAGGCCATAGCGAAGGTTTCAAAGGATGGCTTTGCCAGACCACCTTCCATTTCAACTGCCAGGCACAATTCTTCCATATTTTTTAGCTAATGTAAGCATTTTAGCACCATGCTGACAGTTTCCCACTCTCTCCTACATCTCAGCCAAAGAAACCCCTACAAGATGTACAGTACATGATGCGTTTCATAGAGAAAAAGAGAAAATGTTATATTGCTTTAACACCATATAGAGGTGTTAAGAAAATACCATATGAACCATAAAGTGAATATTGTACTGGCATGGAACAGAGTGAATGCATTGTTTTCATCATTACAACATTCTTAAATAGCTACAGCAGTGTCAATCAAATTGACTCAAGGCTCAACTACACATCGTAATATCTCTGTTTTTGTGTTTGGTTTGGCACACTTGAAAGCAAATAAAAAAATCTCCAACTACACAATGTACAGCTAAGTGTGCAAATTTTTTTGCCAGGAAGTGGGCTTCTTTTTTAAAAAAAACACACACATCCACATGGGGATTGTTTATTTTAAATCGATTCTGTTCATGCTTTCTCTAAACTCATTTTGGCATGTGTGATCACCTCTGCTGGAGTAAAGACTGTGTGTGGGGGGGGTCTGCAGAGTTTGCTGAATTTTGGGTTACAGAACAATGGGTTTTGGTCAACAGGATACCCTGCAATGTGAACTCTTCCTTTTTAACCCCCTTTATCTGTTTCTGTTTTAGCACTGTGTCGATCTAGTGCTATGTCAGTTCAAAACTTATATTTTAAAAAATCAAATATTAAAAAGTGTGATTTAGACAAGAACATGAGGATAGAGGAAACAGTTGTTAGAGTAGTTGTGGGCTGTGTTGTAGGTTGCTGATGCTGATGTTGGCTTTGCTGAATAAAAACTGCCGTGTCTGACATCAGCTGCCTCAAGACAGAAAAGCTCTGCCTCAAGAAAGGCACAAGGTATAGTTGTGGTGAAGAATTAATTTTCCAGTACAGAGGAAAAACAGGAAAACTGGGACCTGGAGTGCCAAAGTGCCAATATACCACACAGCTTACAACCAGACTAAAAGTTGTTCCATAAGGATGTACACAGCACATAAACCATGTGACATTATATTGATTTCTAAAAACCCCAAACAACTCCCAATTTAATTCAGCTGTGTAGTCGTGCAATACAACCTGATGTGCAAAAACTAGCTTCTATTGTATTTTAAGCAGCCAGGTTACTTTTCTATTCTTAACCAACTGGAATTGTCCTTGGAAAAAGATGAGAGGCTTTGTAATAACATTATTATTAAGTTAGATGAAGATGCAGAAATTAGTGACATCTTGCACGCTGCAAAAACATATGTAGGCTAAGCAGATTCTCTAAGAAACACACACATATTGAATAATAACAGAAAAAGCAATTAGGGTCTTTTTTTCCTCAGTCACAGCTAAATAAACAGATCAATGTAAGCCACGCGATCATAGCAAGTGTTTCTGAATTTGTATCTTCCTCCCACTTAAATCACACCAAATCAATCATTTTACAAAGCTTGATTAATAAAACAAGTTTTTCCATGGAAAGCGTCATGGAGCATATGTACTATAAAATACAGTGGTGCCTCGCTTAACGAGCGCCCCGTTGAGCAATTAAATAGCTTAACGAGGGCTCTGGGCCATTGCTGGAGCATTCGCTCAGCAATGGCCCCTATGGCGCTTTTTCGCTTTGCGATATTCGCTAAGCGATTCGCTTAGCGAATATCGCATAACGAAGCGGGGGAGAACAGCTGATCGGCGGTTCCAAAATGGCCGCCAGAAGGTCCGCACCGCATTTTCGCGCCCTGCCCTCGCTTACCAAGGGCGCGAAAATGGTGGCGCTATGGAGGAAGATCGCTTAACGGTGAGTTTTAAAGCCATAGGAACGCATTGAACAAAGTTCAATGCGTTTCTATGGCTTTTTTATTTCCGTTTAGCGATGTTTCGCTATAGCGAAGGTTAATCCGGAACGGATTAACCCTCGCTATGCGAGGCACCACTGTATAGACTTCTATCCATATCTGATTTTGTACAATAGCTTTGGAAGTATTTAAAATCTGTTTCTGTCTGTTAATTCCCTTGATGAAGTGAAAACTATAAATATAGGTAGACAAGGATATCAGTCTGTGTAAGATCTGTCTGTTTCTACATGACCAACTAATACAACTCCAAACCGTGTGGCAAGAACCACACATTTCCCCATGCATCGTAATGTGTTTCGAGTCAGTTGCATGCATGATATAATTTTCTTATATCATTTGATGTCTGAGTTACTGAAATGTAACATTCATAACAAGTTTAACTGTACCTTGACATGATTTGATTCCACTTTCATACCGAATCATCAAGATCTGGAAACGAAAAAGAAAAAGTGATCCAGCTTGCATGTAGGCTTTTACAGACATTTCACTGAAACTATTTTCATCTCAAAGAGGACTCCTTATTAATTACTCCAAGTTGAAATGCCAGAAAATAAAGAGATGGAGTGAAGGCCTCGTGGGCAGGTCTCAAAACAGGGCAACCAAAGGCCTCTCTCCTGCAGACCTGAGTTTATCCGGTTCCTCCGGGGGGGGAGGCACCACCTAAGCTCAAGTCGCAGCCTAAATATCATCTTCTGGACCTCCAGCCTGAATACTGTCAGTTAACCCGAGAAGACACCTGGGATATGCCAGCCTTCCAAAAGCCTTTCTGTCCAACTCTGCTACAAATTAAGAAGTCACAAAAACTCCCTTGCTTTATCATCCTGGTCTCCTTGCTCGTGATCCTCAGTGATCACCCAAATTTGACACGTTAACTGCTTGTGCACATTTGTGTCTTTATCAGCCTAGTCCAGAACCTGACTGATCAAGGTGAGCTCCCTCACAGCTCAGCTTTGGCTTGATACCTGCCCAGTTTTGCTCCACCTCCGGTTTTATCATTAATATTCTTATTTATTACGTTTCCAACCTACTTTCCCACTAGTTTGTAGTACTATAAAGGGGGGGGGTTTGCAATCATCACAAAACACAATAAAGTACTGTAACAAGTATGATCGAGCCGCTGCTGAGCCAATGCTTCAGCAGCATGGCTCACCTTTGCCTCCCTTCCCTGATTCCGCACTACGGCAAGCCCCCCCCTTTGCCAAAGGATGGCAACATTGATTAGCCGCTCAGAGTGGTATAAATATACCAGATGGGCGGGATATAAATCAAATCAAATCAAATCAAATCAAATCAAATCAATCAATCAATCAATCAATCAATAAAGTGTGGCCCGTGTTTAAATCCATAATTCTTGTCTTGTGTCTTTATTCCGGGGTTGGGAGGGCAAAAATGCAAATTCAATTACAGAAATTTCAACCAAAAAAAAAAAAACCCAACCATTTAAAAAAGCAGGGAAAATCACTATATAAATTTGCATTATGAACCATTTTGTGAACACAGTTCCTAAACACAGCCAAAGTGGAGACTAACTGCCATGTGTGGCACAACTGGGAAGCCATGCAGGAGGAAGCCCACCTCTGTGTGCCTGACATGCAAGCTTCTGGAGCCATTAGTACTGACTGTCCCATGAGATTCTCTTACAGATCTTAGCATATGGACATGTTCATAATGAAACAGGCAGACTCTTGCACAGTTAGGTCTCCAGCTGTTTAAAGCTGTGAAGGCTAAAATCAGGACCATCTATTGGTGGTCCTGATTGTTTACCAGTAAACAACTGGTTGTTTACCAGGAAACAACTGGTTACTACTACAGATCTTTCAGTAAATGGGGAGACATATACAGCAGAGGTCATCAACCCCTGGTCCGTGGCCCAGTGCCTGTCCGTGGCCTGAGACGGACTGGGCCGCGGAGACAGACCTCCCGCCCCCCCCGCACTTAAAAGCTATAAATGGCATCTCTCAGAAGCTTTGTGTAGCTGTTTTTTTAAAAAAGGAGGCAAAACTAGGGTACTGAGGGGCTCTATGTGTCGAAGGCCATAGCACTGAAGAGGATTCCTGCCAGCACCATCTTTTGATGGTGTCTTATCATGAAATATTGGAAATTGTTGCAATATAATGCATCCAGTACCCAACCCAGCTAAGCAGTCTGACAGAATACCAAGAAAACTCTCTTCGCATTAATATAGTAGTTAAAATAATGGACAGAACCAGGCTGCCCATTTTCCGCAGAATAATTAGTGATTATTTTGTTTCCAGAAATGTCCTCTGGAAAGCAACACAAAACTCAACATGAGGAATGGCACACACAGCATATTGTACAGTGCCTAGTGGTTAACACAACATTCCCAGCATCCCATTCTGTATGACCACCCCAATGGTCCAAACCTGCACACAAGGGCGCAGCAAGATCCCAGGATATCATTTTAAATGTGCCAGTGCAGTTTTTCTACCAGCAGGCTGTAATTCTGTGCCTCAAGCTGCATCTTGCACCATTACCGTTTAAAAACCTGAACTGTAATCTTATTAACAAACATCTTTGTGAGAGCATTAACTAGATTTTAGAGCTACATAATGTTATTTTTGTCAGTGAGGTAAGCAGAATGACTCAAAACATAATAGAATCTGTCTAAGATGCTGGTTAGCTTCACTTCTTTTTCACCAAATGTGCAAAAAGAGGCTGACTCACTAATGCATTTGCTTCGCATACAGAAAAACGATTGTACAAAACCATAGTTAAAAATCCTGGCTCATGGAATCCTTTTTCCATTACAGAAACAGCAAGTAAAACATTCTGCAGAGATTTATTGAGGTGTAATAACAAGCCTTTAAAAAGGAAGGGGTGGCGCTGCGGGTTAAACTGCAGAAGCCTCTGTGCTGCAAGGTCGGAAGACCAGCAGTCATAAGATGGAATCCACGTGACAGTTACATTTAAAGTATACTGATATGATTGCTTTGAGTTATTACAGTTTGTGCTTTTAATAGGACACAAACTCCTTTTTTTGCCCAAATGCCAGTCATTTTTAGAATACAGGGAACGTTACCAAAGTGATCAGATAAAGAGGTGCCAAAATCCGCTGCTGAAACCCGCACTCCTATCTCAGGCTCTGGGAGGTCTAATGTTTTGAATTCCCTGTTAATGGAGAGACATCTAGTCTATCTCTCTTGGTCAACAAAGACATCTTTATACAGTTGTTGGCTGTTGAGCCATCTTGTTGATAAACCAGGTCCTGTTCATTAAAAAAAATATTTCTAACTGGCACATTCTTCTCTGGTAGTTTTAATAGTCATGGATAAATTTAAATTATGCTACATTCCATCTGTATTTTATCATTAACTTCCCTGAGTGCTATTTTTACCAGAAAGGTGAGGTATTAATTAATGGATTTCTTTGAGTCCACCATGCATGTCTCGGCCTGGTCCAAAAAATTCTGTCTCTTTTACTTGAATTGAGTGAGGAGAAGATGCAAACATATATGTTTTTTATTTGTACAATCAACAGATCAGATGTGAATAACACAGAACAACTGCATAAGAATAAACAGAATCAATACAGCTATAATATACATTATATGCAAACAGTTATACAGAGGGAAGGACTGGCCAGTCGCCAACACAAAGCCATAAAATGTTTGTGCGCACATAGGTAAGGATTTGATTTAAGCCCAAAATGTATTGAATTAATTCAGAAGGAACTTTAAACATTTTCTAGCATTTCAATCTATTTTAGTCCTTATTTCTCTCATATTATATCTAATAATATTTCTTTATTATATTTAGCATCTCCAATTATGCTGATTATTTTTATATATTTTAATAATACTTTGCTTTTAGTTAGATGCCAATACACACTTTTGCTCCCAAAGGAAAATTTCTATGAATTCATTGGAACTTACTAGCAATAAAACTGTACTCTGTCCTATGTGTTTCTTTTACAGTATTCAACTGGCTTTCAGCAAGCAAGTGAACAGAACAGCTGGAGAACAGAATCTGTTTGTAATAGATAAAATTTTCTTTAACCCTTTAAACCGTTTACCCTTTTATGCTCCAGCTGGCAATTTGGTCATCAATTTCAAATTTGCTAAGGATTTCTTGTTGCTCCAGCAACCATTCCTAATTATACTGGGATGCTAGACAAACAAGATTTACTTCCTAGGCTCTGTGAAGGTCACCCTTGCATTGTGATGGCTGAGCACAGGTTGGCGTTGCAGCAAGCTGAGTGGTCCAGCATTCAGAGCCTGCCTAACACGGTTCTCATTGCACAGAATGATTCTGAGCGACAAGCAGAAGAAAATTCAGGGGAAATGCTTCCCAAGCATTTGTGTTATCTAAGCTGATGCCTGTAACTGTGGTTTCAGCTCTTGCCAAATCCTCCACCTTTCTGATGGAATACAACTGGTTTCTCCATTAACAACCTATTGTCACTCAACCAGTGAAAATACTGTACTGCCTTTTACCAAGAAGGGGAAAAAAAACATACAGCACAATTCCAGGAAAACTATCTAACAGAAAATGTTATTCTTTCCTACCGAAGACCACTTTTGTCCTCTGACAATTCCTCAGAGATGGTAATTGTTGTTTTAAGAAGCAATGGATCTTTTTTTTTCTTTTAAGGCGAATAAAACCTTCAAAGATGCTGATCACAGATTTTCTTGCAGAATCCAATTGCATCATTTAAAATTAGGAGCCAAGGGGGACGTTCAGAGGTGGTCCTCATCCTAAGAATTCATTTGTGCTTCAGCAGTGCAAGCAAGAATTATTTGTACGGACAAAAGGGGAAGTCAAAATTAGCTGGTCAGCTAAAAGAGGCACAATGACGATGCTAAGCTTGACAAAGACGGCAGTGCCGTGTAGCTCTGACTCACTATCACTTTTAAAATTTTCTCTGAGAAGAGTTCTTCCAGGTGGTACACACATCCCCAAGATATTTTGGACCACAACACCCATAGCTGTCTGCTGTCCTGGCTAAGGCTGGTTGGCGGGCAGGGATGAAGCTCAAATAATTACTGTATAGAATAGGACCACACTGGGAAGGTTGGTCTTGGAAAATATAAAAGCACATAGATCTGCAAGCGCATGAGCTCTGATACTGCACTCAGGACGTGGGACTTTCTTCTCACCAACTGCAACTATAATGGGTTGAAGAGGAAAGAGGATTTTTCTACACCTGAAGACTGTTTCTGCAACTAAGGTACAGGAACTGTGGGTTCCTGTGCTGATAGAAGTGACATTAGATATAGCTAAACTCTAACAGGAGCAGGCTGATAAATTAATTTCCACAAGATTACCAGCATGCAAATGTCAGCACTACAAGGTCTGAGCTAAAATACTGATTTTGCCCTGATTTGCCCTATTATTTTTGTCTACGGTTTTTTGGTTTTATTTATTTATTTATTTA